TGAGCATTAAGAAAACCGGCTGAAGCTCTTCTCACCAAGGCTTTCAAGCACCCAAAGTGTTTCCCTGCTTGCCGCTTTATGGAGGAGCAGGGAGTTGGCCCCAGGGGCCCCTCTAGCTGCAGCGCGACCCTCTGGGGCTGTCCTGGACCCCAGCCCTGCAGGTCTGAGGAGTGTACAGTGACCCGGCCCTTCTGGGCTCCCCCAAACCCTCTGTGGTCATGATACGGAGCCCCTGGAGGCCCCCAAAGTCAGAAGAGCAGTGGATCACAGAAATATCTACAAAAGGGCAGGCGGGACAGGGCATCGCCGATGGGCTTGGAACTAGTGGTGTCTTCCTCTGTGGCCTGCCCCCTTGAGCATAATCCGTACCCCCTTCCTGCAGTACTGCTGATTGAACCCAGGACATCCCCAGTCCTTGATATTTTTATTTTATTTTGAGATGGCATGTGGTTAAATTGCCCAGGCTGGCCTAACCTTGAGCTGGTGATCCTCCTGCCTCAGCTTCCCGAGTAGCCAAGCTTACTGGCATGCACCTTTTCTTCCTTTTTCTTCACTGCCAAGTTCCTCAGGAGCCATGCGGACAGCTGAGAGTGGATGTGGGCTCCGAAGAGCTTGGGTCCTTGGTGTCCCAGCTCAGGGACCTATGCTCAGGAAAGCCACACTGAACTTCAGTTCTGATAGAGTGAGGAGCCGATACCAGGCAGTAAGCAGAGTGGTCCATCTGCAGGGGATTCTGCCATTGCCTCACTCCCCGCCAACACAGACACTGCCCTACAGGGCCTTGCAATAATCCTCACCTTCCGTCTTGACCTCCATCTCCCCCAAGTCTGGCACCCATAGCCTCTCCTCTGGCACTGTCTTCCACCCTCCTCACTTTTGTCCCTAATTCCCAGGTGGCCTGGTCCACAGCCAGGGCTGTGACCCGGGGTGATTAGCAGTCACCCTCAGGTCCCACCAAGCACCGTTCAGCCCTACCTTGTCAGCGCCCACGGACACAACCAGCAGGGCAGGGCCAGCGAGGTGCTTCTGGTCCGGGAGTCCCTCTTGTGCTCTGCCTCTTTCCTGGGAGAGTCGGGGGCTCCCAGTCTCCTCTCTGTGGCCTTGTCCCTTCCCACTCTGCCTGTCCCAGCCCTATCTGTCTTCCAGGACTACACCAAACACCCCCACCCGAGCCCCTTTAGCGGGTTTTCTCTGCAGTGACCGCAACCCTTTCCTGGCTCTCTGTCCTGAGGCTGGAGCTGGGCGGCCTCTGCTTGTCACTGGCCCTTTAGATGTCTGTCTCAAAGACCTCTCCTCCTCTTTGGTGTTTGCAGGTTTTAAACATTGTCTCAGATTTAAATTTAATTTCTCCTGAATGGCTTCGTCAGAATCTCCCTGTCCACCATCTTGTTACTGCATCTAGAAGGGGCAGGAAGGATACAACTTCTGAAAGCCCCTGTGCCCACTGAGTCCAGGGTGGCAGCGCTCCTCGGCACAATCCTAGCTCCTTCTTTGTGGACATCAGGGTCTAAGTTCACCTGCAGGACCTGGAAGCTGCTGAGGGATGGAAGATGCAAACACAGGCGTAGGGACGGCAGGGGTATGCGCAGGGCTGGGCAAGCAGCTCTGCAGCGGTCCCTTCCATGCTGGGAGCCCTGGGGTCAGACAGGCAGGCAGAGCAGTGCCCACAGGCGGTGGCCCCAAAGGCTAGAGGCCAGGGAGGCCAGACCGGGGGTGACCCTCCATGCCCTCTGCTCTCACCCTGCGAGCAGTCAGCAGGGTCTTCCCAGGCCCCTCCCCAGGACCCCCAAGTGGGCTCATGAAACAGCTCGGGAAGCTGAGTGGCTGGTGACAAGACCTGTGACCCACAGCGCCCAGGAAGTGGCTCACCCACGGGGGAAACCGCCTCCACGGCAGGCGGCTCGCTGGCCTGTCTTGAATCTGGTGCAGGGACCTGGGAAGAACCATGTCTGTGGTGCTATGGTGTGAAGGCGTCCCCAGTTTCACGGGCTGGAAACCGAATCCCCCAGTGCCCACGTGGGTGGTTTCAGAGGAGGGGTTTTTGGGAAGTGACCAGGATTCGGTGCGGTCATGAGGCTGGGGTCCCTGGTTTTATCAAGTGACACACGCTTGTGCTGTCTGGTCACGGGACTCCTTATGCCACGCTGTGACGCGGCAGGAAGGTCCTTCCCAGATGCCAGTGCGGCGTTCTGGACTCCCAGCCTCCGGAGTGGTGAACCAAATAAACTCCTCTTCTCTATAAATGGCCCCGCCTTGGGTATGTTGTTACAGCAACACTTCAGCTGCTGAGCTCCAAGCACCCCGCAAGGGCATGGCGAGGAGAATCTGTCTAACTGGGTCTGTACCGCGAGTGAGAAACGAGGAGCTCGTCCTCACCCTTTCTCGATCATTCTCCTTTTCCCAATCCTCCTTTATCTGCAACCAGCACAGCTCAAAACAGCCCATCCGTAAGTGCCTATGTGCTGGAAAGAGCACAGCGGGGTGGCCTGGCGGGCGGGAGAGGCGGAGGGTGACACGCTCAACCCCACACAGCAGAGCGCCAGGTCTCTGGGGCTAAGCATTCAGCAGAGCAGGGCGGGGCCTCTCATCCCAGCAGAGTGAGAAACGGGGAGCACTCGCTCGCTCGAGGGACCAGGATGTGGTGAAGGAGACGAGGGCCCGGCACCTGCGCAGGGGCGCACGCCGCCACCCGGCGAGCCCAGGCCAGGGCCAAGCCTGGAGACAGCCCACAGGACAGGATGCGACCAGCTGCACCGGCTGAACGCAGAGGGCTGCCTCAGGCCATCAAGGGCCTGTCCCTTCCAGACGCACTTGGGCTGGGCCAGGGGCCACACGACCCACAGGGCGCTGAGCTCATCTACACTGCAGAGGGGCACTTACCTGAGTTTTGGCAGGGGAGGACCAGAATGAAGGTTCCCTTACCAGCTGCCAGGCTGGGGTCTATCTCATTCTTACTAAGTGCCTCAGTTTCCCCGTGTAGGCCTATATAAAAGGCCCCGCCACAAGGCAAGGTCAGAAGTGTGGCTCCCGTGTGGGGAGTCCCTCCGCCGCCTCCTCTCACCGGGGACCTCTGGCACCTACTTGATGGCTGTGGATGATACCCCTCCGCTAGGGGCCTGGGGTCCCTGAAAATTCTGTGGCTAGCGGCACCTTCCAATCTCCCGACAGGCCCTCCTGTGGCTCGGGCACAGCCAGGGACGTGGCTTCTTCTGTGAATGTCAGTGATACTGCCACAGCTGCCTCCAGCTTGGCAGCCAAGGATGTGAACTGAGCCCAGGTCATTGGGAAGCCTGGGCTCACTCCAGCCCCTCACTGCCCTGCGTGGCCCTGGAGGAACCTCTGCCATTTATTCCTCTGGGGCAGACTGCTGGCTGCTGGGTAGTCAGGACCCTTGCAGCTTTAGGGTCTTCTGCTCTAGGGGGCGAGACCTCTGGCTGCTGAGAGAGGGCATGGAGAGGGCGGGGGGTCCCTGGGCCTGGATATCTCCAAAGTCAGCCCTTTCTGAATTCTGCCCACTGCTCTCCGCTGTTCTGCTTCCTTTTTCAGGGACTCTGGAAAAACGCTTTGACTCTGGGACTTTTGGTGACACGATGATCACAGAATTTAGCCAAGGTCCAAACACATGCTGCTCCAGCCAGTGTCTGTGGACCTGGAAATGTGTTCCCAGCACCCTAACAGTACAGCAGGCTGTGTTTCCCCAGGTACCATGCCTGGGCACCAACAAACAGGAGGGGCCCCTCCCTCCATGCTCTAACCCCAAACTGCCAAATCAAACCTCAATGCTACGAATTTCCTCTAGAATCATTTGGGTTTAGGAGATGACTGAAAAAGGAAAGGAAAGAAAGGAAGAAGCCAGCCCAGAGGAATGAAGCCTCCTTGAGCTGCTAGCCCACAGAGCCCTCTGTCCTTGGGGGCACCTGGGCACTCCTGGCCCGAGTCCCACCTCACCCCATCTCCTGTGGGCACCTGGTCTCTGGCAAGCTTCCTCCCACCCAGGCTCAGCATCCAGACACCTAGGAGATTTGAACACTAGAAACACATGAAAAGGGGTTTAGGGCCTTCCATCCGCCCCCCCCATCCCGCCCAGCTCAGTCCTGAGCGGCTCACACAGAGCACAGAGAGGAAAAGGATGGATCTTGGTTTCATGTAGAAAACCTTCAGGGTGCTTTCCAGGCAGGGACACACTGCAGCCCAAACATCTCTGTGCCGCTGAGGCCGGTGGAGACCTGGACAGCACCCCAGAGAGGTTGCCAGAGGGCCAGATGGACAGACAGGGCTGGACAGACCTGGGGAGCCAACTGTACCCTGAGGACCCCACACTGTGGAAGCGCAGGGCCAGGATCCCAGACGCTGCATGTGAGCCCGGGCTCTGCAGTGGAAGGATGAGTCTGCCAAGAGGGAATCAGGTGGAGAGATGCGACTCTCCACAGGCAGGTCCCCAAACTCTGCAGCACAAGGCCTGAATGCAGCTTCGTGAGCAGAGTGGGAGCTCTTGGCGTGGGGGTGGGGTTGGGGGCTGGCATTTTGAGGGGGAGGAGAAGTTGCAGGGAAGGAAAAAATCCTGAAGCGGCAGATAGGGGGACAGCTGTGGCCTGAACTTGGTGTTCTTGCTCCTCGGATATGGATGTATTAATTTCCATAAATGCTAATAGCCCATTTCCCCAAGAGCTATTACTTATGTCATCTTCCCTTGGATACCGTTCAACCAAGGCAGGCAAAGGAAAGGGAGAAAAAGGTAACCCCCACTGCCGAGTCCCAGCTCTGGCCCCTCTCCCAAACAAGCAGCTCAGGCCCGGTTTTGAAGGTGACCCTGCTAACACCATGGTCCAAACCACCTGCCTTTCCACAGGTCCCTATCCTGCCCAGATGCAAAGAAAGTTACCACCCCAAAAATGCTGAATCACAAAGTGAGCCTGAGTAGGAAAGGGGGGTGGGGTGGGAGGGAGAGGGTGGTCAGGGAGGGAGGCAGGGAAGGGTGCTAGGGGCTTTGCACTTGGAGCACCCCAGGGGTCTCCAGGGTCCCCTGCAGGACGCCCCCCACCCCCCGCAAATGCCAGGAGGAGCAAGCTGGATGCACCTGATGGGGGGGCGGCCAGGTGGGCAGGTGCGCCCGGCCGCCCGCGGGTACTGCAGCAGGGAGCAGTGCAGCAGCCCGGGCTCTGCACCCCGCAGGAGCAGCAGCAGGTAGGGAGGTGGGGAAGTGCTTCGTGCCAGGGCCCTGGCTGGAGGCAGAAGGGGTGACAGGATGGGGCCAGGGACCGGGGTGTGTGTGGGGGGGACACAGTGGCCGACGACGAGGCGGAAGCTGTGCCCGGAGGAGCAGGCGGGAGAGAGGTGCGGAAGACCGGCGCCGGGAGCTGGGGGCGCTCCGCCGGGGCTGCGCGGAGGACGCGAGAGGGGACTGGAAGGGTGCGGGGAAGGGGAGGCGAGGCTGGGGACGGAAGGGGCAGCCTGGGGGGTGAAGTTTGGGGCGGGGGTCGGGGATGCGAGCGGAGAGGTCGGGCGGGACGACCGGAAGCCACGGGAGGTTGCGATGGGGGAAGGGAGACGGGGGAGGAGGCGAGGAGCCTGGAGAGGCGGTGAGAGGGGGCAGGGAGCAGCGGGCGGAGGGGGGCCAAGGCGCCCGCCGCCGCTCTCGGGGCGCAGGCCCTCGGGCCCCGCGGCCCACCGGGGTCTCCCCCTGCACTCACCTGGGGGCTCCAGCTCCTGATCCTGTGCCCCGCTCCGGATCTTCCTTCCCGCCCGGCTCCTGCGACTTTAGCGCCCCCGAATCCCGCCCGCTCCTGCAGGTTCCACCCGCAGCATCTTCACCTCGTGGGACGCCTGAGGCCACGCCTCTTGGAGCTTCTCATTGGCTATCATTCACGCCAGTCACATTCCCATTGGCTGAGCGTTCGGCGTCCATGCAAATCGGGACGGGCCCGCCGCCACGCCAATTGGCTGATGCTCGCGGAGCGGAGACCCTGGACTTGAGCTCTGATTGGCTCCACAGCCCAGACACAGCGGGGACGCGGGGTGGCTTCCCGGCCTGAGAGCCCGCGCCGCCGCCGTCGGAGGCTCCTGTCAGGCTCCTGTCGCGGTTGGCAGTGGGTCGGGCGCGCTCCTCGACCAAGAGGGCTCCGAGGCCCGCGGCTCCGCTGGGCACGGGCCACTGAGCCCTTGAGTCCCGGTGCTGCGGGGACTTTCTGGAAAGCGTGGGCCTTGTCGCCCGTGGCACTGGGCGGCGGGCCCGTCTCCTAGGTAACGTGGACGGCGACGGGCGGGACCAAGTGGGCTGGTGCGCGGGGGAGGCCGCCGCAGGCTGGAGGCGCGGGGTCCGGCAGAGTCGGCCAGGCCTCACCGCCCTGGGGTGGGGGTCTGGCTGGGCCCTGCCTGTGCACCCAGGCCTGCAGGGTTGGTGCGGCCCCGGGCGTTGGGCGTCGTGGGTCCCTTCAGGCTCGCCCCTCCCCCGCCATTTGTGCTGCCCCCGACCCGCTGTTGCCCCGATCCTAGGCGGGCAGCCTCGAGGCCCTGGCCTCGTTCTTGCTCATCCTTCCCCGCTCCACCCGGCCCCCCCCCCCGCAGCCCTGCACGCACCCCCAGGCTCTGCTCCTGCCGCCCAGTACGAGCAGGGCGGGTCCCCGCCCTCCGACCCAGACTGGCGGCCTGTGGCTGCCGCTCTCCCGCGTCTGGCCCTGCACCGCGCGAGGCCCACGTGGAAGTCCACGAAGGCAGGGGGCCCCACGCGCCGGCGGCCGGGTGGGGAGGACAGCAGCGGGGAGGGTTCCGGTCACAACTCACCCGTGCGTCTTCGTGGGCCATGGCTGCGCCTTGCGTGCTCAGCTGTGTGCTGTCTGGGCCTCGGGCATATCCCTCAGGAGCAGCCACACAGCCAGTACTCAGCCCTCACCTACTCCCAGGCCTGGGGCACTCCGAAGTCCCATCTTCTGGCCTAGAGGCTTCCCTGGGCCGGCTGCCCTCCTGCCTTCCGCCCTCCCTTCCACTGGGAACCCGCGTGTGGCTTAAACCCAGCCGGCCTCTTCAGCCTGCCTGATCCCCTCCCCTTTCCCCCGAGGGGATCAGGCCCAGGGCCTCTTGCTGTCAGGCTCACCCTTGCCCCTGGGGCCTTTCTCCCATCCGGAGTTTTAGGTTCTTGGAGATGGGGCATTTATGGTCTTTCTGTGTTTGGACCACGTTAGGTGCTTGCGTTTAATTATTACTTGTTTTAAATATTACTTGTTTAATAGACCCCAGGAAACTTGGCAGCCCTCATTTTGTACACTGGAAACAGGCAGGGAGGCACTGTCTTTCCTGAAGTTGGGGAGGACAGAGGACTGGGCTGATCCCTGGGCTCCTCCCCCATATACCCAGGATCACCTCTCCACTTCCCGTCTGCCTTGGCCTATCTTGGTCTCTTGGATGGGACCAGGACAGGGGAGGCATAGTTATAGGCTTCACCACTAGCTGCTTGACCCTATGTCTAGTGAACCTGAGACTCACTTGGTCTCCTTCTCTGTAGGATGGAACAGTGATGATATTTATCTTACAGTTGTTGGAATGATAACTATGGAAATGTTTTGGAGCCCCTGGCTCATGATAGGGGCTTAATAGAAGCTGTTGCCTTTTGTTTTTTCCCTGGAGAGCCCGTTTTTGGATTCCCTAAAGTGTGGGTCCCTTTCTGATGTTTGCCCCCCCCCCCCCCCCACGATCCTCCTGCCTTTCTGCAGGGCATTCCTGTTTAATCAGTGGAAGGTTCTCACTGGAGTTCACAGTCTCACAGGACAGCGTTAGAAGCACAGCCCAGTACATGTGTGACTTCCCTTTCGGTGCCTGTGTGGGGGAGCAGGTGGAGGTGGGGACCCGTTCTCACTCTAAAGAGGTGGGGTGGGGTAAGAGGCCCTGGCTGCCTAGGCCCCTACCCCTAGGTGTCCCAGTGTCACCCTTCCCTCAGACTGTAGCTGTCTGTCCCTGATGGGGGATTCCCAGTGGGGGCCAGGCCTTTCAGGAGGGACACCTTCCTCCCCAGCCTGGGCCTGCTGGGGCTGAGGAGCAGGGCAAGGCCTGCTCTTCAGCAGCATCTACTGGCCGGAGGCAGCAGTGTGTCCTGCTGTCACCAGGACAGGAGAGAGGCCTGTGTCAGGGGGCTGGTGAGTGGGCCCATGTGGGGACAGCTTTCCTGTCCAGGGACACCGCCTGACAGGAAGTGAGTAGGGGCGTGTCTGTCTCCATTTCATCATGAAGGGTACCTGGGAGAAAGCATTGCTTCCGGAAGGAAAACCAGCAAAGCACAAGGGCCACCTTGATTGAAACTTCATTTGAAGCTATGGCTGCTTACAGAGTGCTGCTGGTGAGTGGGGCACACTGGATACAGGAGGATCAGGGTTCCTCCTGCAGGGAGCCACCACTGAGACATCAGTGCTGTGACCAGCAGCAGCATTGGGGCCATGTGACCACGGGGGGCATCTGGGAGGCTCTCCTAGCCACATGTTGGTCAGGCTGCTTTTGCTTGTGGGTTGTGGACAGTTGTCTGAGTGTCCTGGTGGTGCTGTCAGCAAAGTGCCACAAACATGGTACCTTGAAATAACACAGATTTATTCTTTTCCAGTTAATGAGATCTGAAGTTCAAATTCAGTCTCTGGGTTAACTCTAAGCCTGTGTATGCAGGGCAGGTCCCTTCAGAGGCTCTAGGGGTGCGGCTATTCTCTTCCTTTTCTAGTTTCCAGAGGCCCCCCCCCCCCCGGCATCCCAGCACCAGGCTGTTTCTGTTGTCACCCAGCCTCCTTTCTGTCCCCTCCTGCCTGTGTCTCATAAGGACCCTTGTGACTTAGAACGATCCCCTTCTCAAGGACCTGTGTTTATCACGAGCGCAGAGTGCCTTTTGCCCTGAGAGGTAGCAGGGCCAGGAGGATACCTGTGGAGGGCATTATTCAGCTCTCAGAGGAGGGGGACCTTTGGTGACGGGTGTTGCTCTGCTGCAGTGGGTATGGAGTACTCCCTGCCCTCAGCCATCCCCAGCGTGGGGTCTGGGTTCTGACTAACAATCCTGGGAGTTTCCCTGGGTTTCCTCTCCCTAGCCTCCAGTGCCCAGGGAGCCCTGGGGTTCAGGTTGGCCAGGCCTGGGCTGCTCTAGGCATTGCAGGAGGAGCAGCTGGGCTGAGTCCCCAGGAGGAGTTTGCCTTTGGTGGCTCCTTGTGGGCCACCCGTCCTCTGAACCTGAGCATGGAATTGGGCATGGCTCCTCCCACAGGATGAAGGTTGTTGAGAGGCGCAGCCCACAAGAATTCGAAAACCCAACCAGCCTGTGTGTCAGCCACGTTCCCATGGCAACGGGCGGTCTCTCGCCCTCTGAGGGTGTACCTGGCCCGCTGGGTGCCTTTGTGGGGAGGCAGAACTTGGGCCGAGGCCCCTGGAGGTCTCGGGGCACCTCCGGCTGGGTTGCATGTCCTGTCTGCTCCACATACCTCACTCCCCTACCCCCTCAAACTTGGAATCTCAGGCCCCTTTATTTTTTAAAAAATTACTGAAGGCCCCAAGAAGTTTTATTTATTTATTTATTTTTTCCTCATTAAGTTTATTGGTACATTTTCGGTATAAAATACAGTAACATACATCACTGGGATCTTGTACCTGTACGTGATGCATCTTGGTTCTTATTTTTTTCCCCTTCCCCTGCCCTCCCTTCACCCCTTCCACCCTTTCCTATTTGCAAAGCCTTTGTTTCCATTTTTTTTTCTTTTCTCATATTTTTTCTTTTCCCTTCTTTCCTTTCCCATACCCCTCCCACTTTCCCTGCTCCTTCAGACCTTTTCTTCCTATTACACAATATCAATTATACATTTTTAAAATTACAATATCAAGATCTAGGAGACATTACCACAGATTTTACAGAATTTAAAAGGATATAGAAAGCACATTACAAAAAGCTGTTTTGAAATAAATTTGACAACTT